GAATGTTAAAAAATAAGAAAAGCCAAAACCTAAAAGCAGCAAAAGAGTAGCTAAAATCTAAAAATAAAAAAGGCTAATAGTGTAAGCTAAAAGTAGAGCAAGGCTAAATAAAAGTGGCTAAATGTAGCTAAAAGCAGTGGGAGGCTAAAAAGTAGCAAAGGTCTTCATTTTCTGGACTTTGACACTTTAGATAAAACATTTAACCTACAAAAATATCTATCACATCTATCCAGCTAAGTCTTATATCAAAACTAGATTCAAGAATGAAATCAACTGTGGTTTTTGTGATGGATGTCCTGAAACATTCTCCACTTGTTTTGGAACTGTCCCTGTGTTCATTTATTTAGGCAGAAACTGTGACTGTATTCACAAGAACATTGAAGCACATTGTGTGCTTCTGTGGAAGCATGTGCTTGGCCTCTATGAAAAACATATGCATACAAACAATCCTGACTATCGTATAAACCTTCTAATATTACTGGCAAAATATCACATTCATTGTTGAAAATACTCTGGAGGGAAGCCAAGCTTGGCTGTTTTTTACAATGAGGTCAAGTATTATATTAGGACAATTAAAGACTCTGATTTTTTTTAAGGCACTAAAAAACATTGAGATATACAGCAATTAATGTATTGTTAGATTTATAAGCCCCACTAGCATTCAGTTTCCTGCAGTACTTTATTTCAATTCAATTCAATTTAAAAATACTTTATTAATCCCAGAGGAAAATTAAATATTGTAAAATATTAAATTTTGTTTCTGTTTAGACTGATGTCTTGATATAGCCTATACAACCATTTTTTCTTTTCTTTTAATGCAAACCTTGTTTTGTAAACTGTAAATTTGCAAATAAAGTTATTTTAAAAAGTAGCAAAAGGCTATTAAAAGTAGCATAAGAAGACAAAAAGTGCCAATGTGCTGAATCTGATTTCATAAAGAAGTAATGGAAGTGATTTTGAGGGAACCGAAGAGACCTCCATTTATTTCTAAAGAAGATATATTTGTAAAAATAAATAAGTAAAACATTTAAAAAAATCATAAGAGTCACAAAACACGTTTTAAGACCCATGGCATCTCCTGAATGACTGAAAAGCAAAGTTAAATTGCAAACAAAACAAAAAAAATAAGAGAAAAGTAAAATAAATGAATAAATAAAAGAAAGAAAGCAGTAGTTCTAATGCTCCACTACCAAATAACCCAGATTATAAATTATTTTATATTTACAGCTCCAACTAAATCAGTCAACTGAAGCACATTTTGAACTCGTGCTGGATCAACCGTGCTGACTCGGGACAATGTGACCCAGAGCTCGTGCTGTTTGTTTCTCTGCTTTTTACTTAGATTCTAGTGTCCGTGCACGCGCTCTGCAACGTTTGTCAGTGTGCAGAGTTGGGTGTCAGACTTCCCACGCTCCTTCCAGTGTGTAATAATAGCTCCTGTGATAAACTGCACAGATTTTACAGCTGTAAGAGGCGCTGAAAGACACCCCCCCAACCCCCCCACCCCACCCCCGCGCGCGCGCGATAATTCGTGGTTTATAGGAGGAGAGCGGACTTACCTGTGTGAGATTTGCATGGCGTCTCTGCAGATAGTGAAGATAGTGATGTCTCCCTCGGTGGTGGGGGGGGGGGGGGGGGGGGGGGGGCGCAGGCTCTCTGTGTGTGTGTAGGCTGCAGAATCCTTCGCACTTTTGCATTGGACGAGCTCCACGCGCTACGTGGATTTTAGCGCAAAAAGCATCAAACAGACGCAAGAGGCATCGTCACAAACCAGCTGTGCGCGGTGCCACGGCCCCCATCTGACCTGAGACTCTCACACGACAGGGGGAGGGGGGTTCAGAAACAAACTGTCCAGGCTGCGCTCGGCTCTCCCCCCACCCCCCCGCGGTTTCCAGCGGAGGGTTTCCCCCAGCGTGCGCAGCGGGGAGGGGTGGTGGGGGAGCTGTCCAGGTGCTGAAGCCACGGAGCCTCCTCTCTCTAACGAAGCCCCCCCACCCCGCAGAGACACAAGGAGGACGACAACGCGGAGGAACTCATCCGGAGGAGACCAGAACACCGAGGAGTCCGAACCGAGCCCGGTCCGAGGAGGCGCGTGACATTCCCATCGCTCCGCGCGCGACGAAAGCTGTGAGAAATAAATAAATAAAGCATCAAAAATAAAAGTGGGTGGGTGGATGTGTGTTGCGGAGGGAGGGGGTTTCGTTTGAAGCCTTGAACGTAAACACAGATGATTTTAGGAGCTCGCTCCTCTCTCTGTCACGAGAAGCTTTATGGTTTCCTGCTCCCCCCAAAATAAAATAAAAAAGAAGTACAGGAATAAAAACTGCCTGAGCAGCAATTGGCCAAACCGTCTGTCAGTCACCTCCATTGGCCAGTCGGTGGTTGAAGCGCGCATCAGTCAGTGGACCTTCTCCTCCTAGAACTGCTGGGGGGG